ACATCAATAAAAAAGAAATAAATTTGTATTCAAGTGGACTTTTGATAAAAAAAAAGCATATGCTTTATTGAAATTCATGTTTGCATCCATTACAGCTAAAAATCTGTTTGGTTAGAAGATAAATTTGTCAGTGCAAAACTAATCCAATTTTGCAATTTATATGAACCATTTTACACTCTACATATTTTTATTCACACTTATTTGTATCGCTTCCAAACGCAGCCTAAGAACTTAGAAAATGATTTTCTAGATGCTTAAATTTGTTTGACTGACAAACATAAGGATAATCATCGATCAGGCACTAGCTAGGCATGCTGATATAATTTAATAAAATTATATTAAAAAAAAACCCTTAAAGCAATAGATTTCTGGAGTGGGGCTTGGAGGAAAACCTTCTATAGGGGCAAAAAATGATCAACCCTACAAACCTCCTCTTTGCTTTTGTTTGTTGCAGAGCCCAAGACAGCTTGTATCTAGTAAGCACTTCTCTTTGACTTCTCTTTTTAATCTAATTCTATCATTTCAGTGTCTGCAAGAGTTCTAACATCCCTCATTCTCTCTGTTGATTTTTCATTCTTTATAGCTTGCAAATACCAATGGCTGGTTGTAGGCTTGTAGCAGAGAATACTTTGTATGAAATCCTAAGATTTCTTTGTTGTTTGGCTGGTTGTAAAGGAGGGTTTTGAGTTAGAGCCTTATGGAAGGGCTACCTCCTAGGTGTGTAGCCCATTTGCCTGCCAAAAATAAAGCTTTTCATTCACATGGTTTTCTGGATACAATCCATACAATAACTCTCTTGTGCCTTCCTAGATTTTAAAACATTCCTTGTGAGCTAAAGATTACTACATTCCAAAGAGAGTTATCTTTTTATTTTGCTTTATCATGCAGCCATGTAGGTTGCTTTTTTTAGCTTCTTGACTTCAAAGTAGACCAACTAATAATATTATAGGTTTCTTAAAATGGTTAATTTTTTTATGTGAAGAAAGCAATAGGATACTAACTTATATTACAAAGGGAAATTCGTAAGATGGATGGCCGCTTTTAGAGTGAGAGAGAAAGAGAAGAGTTGAGACCCATATGGTTGGTAGCTGTGACGATTAGAAAAAAGGACATACTTTAATAAAGAAGAGTGATGGTGAGGCTTGCATTGTGGAAGAGAGAGAGAGAATCTCATGAGTTTTTATGGTAGATGGAAGAAATAAAAGTGGACAACTTTAATCAAAATTATTGCTTCCATTGAAACAATATGTATTAATTGAGTTGATATGTATGTTATTTATATAGAAGAATTTACAATGTAGAAACTGTATCATGAATCAAAATAATGAAAAGTAAGAAATCACGTGTGGCATCTTAGGGCCCGTTTGGTTTGCAGGAATAAGGGTCTGGAATCGGAATTAGAATGGGCTATTCCGATTCCAACTGTTTGCTTGGACAGAATTGAAATCTCATTCTCATTCCTGCTAGAATGGCATTCCCCCATTTGAGGGAATGGCCATTCCCTTCCCCTCCCTTGAAAATGAAATTCCCATTCCTGCTGATTTTAATTCTCATTCTCATTCCTATCCAAACTAAACAGACTATGGGAATGGACCATTCTGATTCCAATTCAGGAGGGTTTCGATTCTGATTCCGATTCCGACTATGAACCAAACGGATCCTTAGAATTATTAAAATTTTTAATGTGATTGATTATTTTTTTATTTATAATTTTTGCACAATGATTGAATTCTATTTGTATTTCTATGTGCGTATGTGCAAGGGCATGGCCAGGGGTGGCAGAGAGGAGCCATGACCCCATATGTGTTGAAAATCCCCACAATACCCATTTAAGTCCCACTTTTATTTTAGACTCTTTACCCTTTATCCACGTTTATTAGTGGCGCCCCTCAAGAAAATATCCTAATTCTGCCCTCGTTTGTGTGTATATGTGTGTGTAAATATTTAAAAGTATTTTGAATTAAAGCTACTTAAGTAGCTTTCTAGTAAGGTCTTTACCTAGTTGTAGCTGGGAGATCATTTCTAATCCATCCTGCAATTTATATTATATATTATATAATACTATAATAACACATAAATCATTATATTATATTAAAGAATAACATAATAATATTTTTATTTAAAGCAATAGGCCCAAAGCCTGATCCAAATTGTTGTGGAGGCTTGGGGTGAGGAGGGATTCAAGGTATGGGAGAAAACTACCACCTAGTTGTGTTGCCCATTTACCTACCAATAATATGAACATATTATATATTAACATAATTTTTTAGATACATTAACTCTCTTGTGCCTTTTATTTTACATTTTAGAAGCATTCCTTGTGAGCTAAAGATCATTACATTCCAAAGAGGCTCATCTTTGGAATACCTTTTGAAGTGCAAGAAAAGTAAATGGCTACCTTTAAAGGAATACAAAAAAGTGGGAAGAAAACAAAATAGGACCAGATCAACAATGTAACAGTTCGCTCTTCATGTTATCAAAGACAAGGCTAAGTTTGAAGATTATAAATACAAATATGCACAATGCAAACACAAGGTTTAGAAATACAATATACAAGGCTTTGCACTGCACATATTTGTATTTACACTCTTCCCAAAGTGAGTCTAAGGCTCCATTTGGAATGAGGACAAATACAATTATGTACATTACAAATTTATACAAAATAATACGAAATACAAGATTTTGCACTCTATATATTTGTATTTTATATTCTTTTCAAATTGAGCCTCAGTTTCGGAAGAGTACAAATACAAATATGTACAGTATAAATACATACAAAATACAAGGTTTTGCACTCTACATATATGTATTTGTACTCCTTCCAAACTAAGCTTAAGTGACAAAAGTTGTACAAGGGTCTAAGGTTAGTTTTTGGATATAAGAAATCTTATGATGTTTTCTATTGTTTTTTTTTTAATAATAAAGAATGGGTTTATCTCTTCTTGGCAAGGATCAAAGTATCCATAGACCAATACTCTTACCTTTTTTATTTTATTTTAATAGCCTGAAAGGGATGACTTCCATCATCCCAAACTTTCAAAACCCCAATCCCCTAGTATTTTGTTGTAACCATGAGTCTCCATGACCTTGGATATGGATATGTTTTTGATATTTTGATCCTTGCTTCTTGGATATATGCACAAGCTGAAATATGTAAAATCTTTGTGCTCTTGATTTTCTGGTTTATGGTGTCATTCTTTTTTTGTATGTCAAAGTTTAGAAGCATTAGGATTTCTTAAACTTATATAAGAACTTTTAACTTTAAATTTTGAATCTCCTAAATTAGAGTATTAACCAACCAATACTTATTTGTTCTACATTTTCTTATTTATTTAGGCTGTTTTTTACTGCAGCACAATTTTATTTGCACTAGTACAAATGCATGGGAGTGCAAATGAAAGGAATGCAAATTCTGGTTTCATTTTGTTTTGTTTTAATTTATTTTGCTTCATGGCTTATTTTATTTCATTTGTACTGTAATCAAACAAAAGAAGGTAAAATTTGAAAAAATAAATAAATTAGAATTTGCACTCAAATCATTTGCACGGCCGTAATTTTGCATCAGTGCAAATAAAATTGTGCTGCAACCAAATGCAGCCTTAATAACAGGTATAGTGCACCACATTCCAAAGAAACACACTTCTAAAATTCTGCAACTTCAAGGCTTAAAATTCTAAAACCAAACTACTGATCAATTTTATTTTTAAAACTATATTTCTAAAATTGACTCAATAACTAATTCCTACAAACTTAAAAACTTAATATCAATAAATGAACCATATCAAAAAATGTACAAAAATCACTTAATTAGCATCTCTACTCTACCAATTAGCTTTTCTAATTTGTGTCTTACTCACATGAAAAATATGTATCATCTCTTCTGTTATCCATACCATTTTCCTCCCTATTCAAATTATGTTTTCTTTGCTTTTTTTTTTTTGTTAATAATAGGTAACTATCCTCTTTCATTTCTTGTAGGTGTTGCGTTAAGCAAAGCCACATTACTCTATTCCTTTCATTTATGTGTTTTTTTTTTAATTTTTATTTTAAAAATGACCCCACAATTAGGTTGATCAGGTTGAGTTGGGCTTCCATTTTATGAGATGGGCTGGACTAAGATTGAGAGAATGGCTCAAAACTCGTATCAGGTTAGGGTTACGGGGCCACGAGGTCAGCATTGAGGCCTTGTCTACAAGGTTGACCCAATTCTGAGCCGAGACAGCCCAAATTGCAGTTACCATTTCTAACTGGACATGTTGGATTTGGGTCAACGCTTTTACTTGATAAAAGAAAAGGCATTTTCGCTTGGAGAAACTGTAAATCAGCTCATTTTCAAAAGATCTTTAACATCGTCTCATTCCAGTTTCTTCTTATGAACTAAAATGGATCCTTCTTTCTTTCCTTGGCGCCTGGCAGGGGCCTTGAAATGGAAATTGGAATCTGAAAAACCACAATTTCATTTCATGTGGTTAAGAATAAAACACCAGTCCTTATCAAACTGCATTAAAGGCAAAAGGGGCTAAATCGTGGATTTAAGAATATAAAACCCATCATGTAGTCCAGGTTGTCAAGAGATTGCCCAGCTCAGGCCAAAAACCAACCTCGTAAAGTATTGCAATGGTGGGCAATGGGGGCCCATGAACTTTGCAATGTCTCCCATTGCAGAAAGCCCCAACTTTGAGTGGGTCCCTCCCAAGTTCATCTCGACCAAACCCCAGAAGTCAATCCAACAATAATCAGAGGGGTGGTTTTGATGAGCAATCTCAATTCTCAAGGTGGGTATCCATCATCCTTGATCCTCTAGATGTAGGACATGTGGCATCTTACTGGAGACCCATGGCACTGGAGTGATCTCAGGTGGGAAATGAAACAATACAAGGCAAGATATGGGTGTCAACTAGGTTTTCCAATCTGACTTCAGAAAAGCTTGCTTCATGAGATGGGCCCCTTGCTAAGTTTCCATTTAATATTTATCATTGTATGGTGCAAACAAAGTACTGTATTCAAGCTTCAAATATATGATTATAACTATTTTATTAGAGGGAACATTGCATATTTGCATGAGATGGGTCCCTTATTAAGAGGCCCAGATCTCTCTTTCCAGCGTTTGTAATGATGGCCATGAAAAGTAACCCAGCCAAAGAGCCGACAGAAACTAAAGAGAAACAAAAAGGGATACAAAGCTCAAGTCCCAAAGCCCAGATCCACTACAGCCCATCACCAAAACAAAAACAAACCTAACCATTAGGTATTACCAACCCCGGCGGCTACATTCGATTCCCCTCCCCCTTCCACCATCAGTCCATCACTGTATATCAGTTGTTTCTTCTGTTTTTCTTCTCCTTTTTACAAAATATCTTCCATATCACCAACTAAAAACCCTTTTCTCTCTTCATCTCCATTAGCCTTCTCACAACCAGACATTTCCATGCTCGTGAGCTTCTTAGCACGCAAGGCCTCTGCCTCCCAGTCTGTTCGCATCAGAACAACAAAAAGAATGGAGACAGCACAAGCAGCCTGAGCAGACAGGAGTCCATACCAGAGTCCACTGAACCCAACCTTGAACCAAAAGGCCAGGCCTACAGCGACAGGCGTCCCAATGCAATAGAAGGACCCGAGGTTGATTCTGGCGCCCACGGCCGGCCTTGCCGTGCCGCGCAGTATGCCACAGCCTGTCGTTTGTGGGCAGTTGCCGAGCTCACACAGACCCATGATGGGCATCACAGCAGCCACCAAGTAACCGACCTCCACGTCTTTAGTGAACAGACCTGCCCACCTCTCTCGCAGAATGGCCGTCCACGTTACGTTGATCGTCCCAATCACGAAAGCGCAGCCCAGCGCCACCAGTGCCGCCAACTTCGCCTTGTAGGGCTTCCCTGCTCCCAGCTCGTTCCCTACCTATTGTGGGTCCATCAGTGGGCCAAGTTAAAAACACCAGAACATCATCATCATAAGATTCCAAACCAATGGTAAATGATAGATCAAGAACTAAATGCAGAAACTTACTCTGGTGGAAACACAAGCGGCCAAGGCCATTGGGACGGTGTACATGAGACTGGTTGTTTGAATGAGTATGGCAGTTGCAGCCACGGCCAGTGTAGGCTTGGACAAATATCCAGCAAGGACGGTCATGATCTCGTACCACCACCACTCCAAGCAAATTCCCAGGCAGCTTGGCACGGCCAAACGTAAAAGCGGGCCCAACCCACCACAGACAACCCCAATACCAGCCGTCCATCTCAGCTCACACACCCCAGATACGTACACGTATGCGGTCATCAATAGAACCATGTTCAGGTTGGTCAGCACAGACGCCATGGCCACCCCAGGAACACCGAGCTTCATCACCACCACCAGCAGAATGTTCAAGGGTACGTGAAACAACACCGCGATCAGAGAACAGTACATCATCGGCTTTGTCACCCCTTGGGACCTCAGATACACTCGCAGAGGCTGCAACAGAGTGTTCGTTAATAGGTCTGGAAGAGAGTAGATACAGTAGGTGGCCGCCATTGCCGTGATATCTCTGTCTTGACCCATGAAGATCATGATTCCTTCCAAGTTCATCCACAGAAAACTGATGGGTATGCTTGCGATTAGAAGGATTAGGACCGTGCGTTGCAGGGAGAGCGAGATTAGTTCCCAGTTCTTGCTTCCATAGGCTTGGCTGCACACTGGCTCGAGCCCTGAAGCGAGGCCGAACAGAACAGAGTACCCTGTGATGTTGGTGAACCCGATTGAGAGAGCTCCTCCTGCGAGCTCTAAGCTCCCGAGTCGACCCAAGAAGAGAACGGACACCATGGCTCGAATGTAGACCACACAGTTCATGGCCGTTATCGGCAAGGCCATGCTCCATAGCTCTTTCAGCTCGTCTATCACCTGTGCGAAGTACAAGTTATTACAGAAAACAGAGCATACGAGAATGAAAATGTGGCGTTGGTCGTCTTAGTTTCAAAGGGTTTACATACATAAAGCAAATAATTCAAGAAGGAAAATGTGGAGTCGTTCTTCTCGGTTTTAAAGAGTTTACCTTAGTTGCAGATGGGGCCTTTTTCGGTGAATAATCTGGTTCTTTGTCAGCCATCTTCGATGTATGGCCGACGTCCATTGAGTTTTAAAAACAAGAACGCCTACAAATTTCGCCTTCTCGTCTGGATTTCGAACTGCCGAAGAGAAAAGAAGTGATTCTAAAGAGCCTGCAGAAGATTCAAAGAAAATAAAGATAACCCACCTTAGATTTTTCGTTCCACTCTGTACTTATCATGAGATTACAGAGAGAAAAGATAGGTCTTATTTAATGGTGGAGACTAAGAAAGAGAAGGTAAGCTGGATTGAACTTCTCAACTTTGTATTGCTGATGAGGTACTATAGAAGAGAAAAGCTGAGGTTAGTTAATGGTGAAGACTTTATGTGCATAACAGGAGAAGGACGAAAGCCATAAATTGAAGTGTGAAAAAATTGGTAAGAAAAGGTAACCCACCTCTTGCCTTTTTAATTATAAACTGTATCTCTGATAGAGATTACAGAAAATTTAAAGTAGGAAGTTGCTAATGGCGGCGACTGGGAGCGAGGCTTGTGGGCTGCATACAGAAGCTTTGGAAGGACAATCAAGAGTAAAGCTGCAAGGAAAGCGACGGTGGAGACGAAGAGCCAAGGGTTTTGGCTTTTAAACCCAAGGAAAGGGTTCAGTTCATCAGGTGTTAACCCTTTTTGAGTATAACGGAGAGAGAGAGAACCAAAGGTTAGCTTTTCTTTTAACCCAACCGTCTCATGCGACTGAGAGGTTTTTAAAGCTTAGAACTTGTTTGGGATCTTCACAAAAGAAAACCTGCTTCTTACGTTTTTATTCGTTTGTTTGGTATGTCAATACGTACTTATTTGTTTAATTGCTTTTTAATTGTTTTCCCTGATAAAGAAGGATGTCCAGCATTTGCCTATCAACAGGAACATGTTACAAGTATTAAGTTTCATGATACAGTTTATGTGTAAATTCATTTAATGTTCATCTATCAAAAAAAATCATTTGTGTTTGTTAGGTTGTTTCATTTTCAAGATTTTTGTAGGTATGCAAGGAGAAATCGGATTCAGTCATTGCAAAGGCCGTTCAAACAACCATTATAATATTGTATTGAGAATATCTCACCATAAAATAAAGCATATAAGTATGGAAATATTCTTAATGCAAGGATATAAAGGCGATTCGAATACCATTAGAATAGGCCTTGCACTGACTGAAGCCGATCTCATGCAAGGGATGATGCATTACATCATTGTTGAAAAATTTGGAGTAGATCAAGCACTTAGATACTCAAAATATATGTACTATTAGTCTATTAGGTGTTGTAATTTACTACTAAATTGATGTAAATTATGCTTAATAGATAATTTGGAATTATTATTTTTTTAATTTGTGCCTTTATTTGAATCAGTTTTCAACCCATTATTGATCCGATTGGTTGAACTAATGACTTGGGTGATTTGGTCACAATACTGGTTTGGGCCAACCTTCAACCTACTATTTTTATAAAAATATCTTGACTTGGTCAATGACCCATTGACTTGGCGATTTTAATCTGCTGTTGATCTAATCCGTTGAATTATTCGAATTATCACCCATTAAGATTCTAGATTTGGTTTGAATAAAACATAGAGAAAGGTCAAAATTTGTTTATTTGGTAAAAAATCATCCAACCCCGATGGTTGGACCATTGACTTGATCAACTCAGTTGACCAGGTTACAGGTTACATATTAATTATGCATTTAATATTTTTATAAATAAAAAAAATTAAAAAATATAATTTAAATATAAAATAATACATATATCATATCTAAAACTTAATTATATATTATTTATTAATAAAATACATACATGGGATGGTCAAACCGGTGACCCATGACCTGAAGGCAAAAACGGTTCAGCCTGGTGGTCAGTTTTTAAAACACCAGATTGAACCATTAACTTGCCTTATCCATTCAACATGATTATCAAGTTCTTCTATGATTTTTTTTTTTGAATTATTTATGTTGATGGCATTATGGAGATGATATTATGATTTTTTCTTTTCAATCTTTCAAACTTCAAGTCGGGTTTTTAGACATTGATTTGAATGGTTAAATTAGACAATTGATTTGATCTGATTCATAACTTAGTGACCAAAATGATTCTATGTTCAATTATTTAATCCCGACAAAATTGCATTAAATGTCAAGAAGGTTTTAAATCCCAATAAAAAACAACTTTTTATTCCAATTTCCTTGTGTGACATAACAATAAATTTAAGCGACACATTTCAATATTTTATTTTATATTGATCAAGAATATGACAAAATATTTTTATGATTTTTAAAATTTGTATTTGAATATCGATCAGTCGTTAATGACATATATGTGGGACTAGTATCAAAGAAATCTAGATGAAATGGAAAACTGTGATAAAGGAAAAGAAAAAAGATATATAAAGAATAAATAAGAAGATTAGACAAATATTACATAGAAAATAGGTATAAGAAGAAGTAAAATAGGGGAAATTAGGAATTATTAGAATTATCTCAATTTCTATTTGAAAATCTAAAACTCTTATTTTAGGAAAAAACTTATTTGGTTAAAATATGTCTCAATTAATCTATGAGTTAGATTAGGAAAGGTTATTGAATTAAAAATAATAGTAAGTTGTGAAAACCAGAAACCGAACTAAAAAACAAATAAATAAGAAAAGCTTAGTAACCTATGGACTCAATCAATAATGAAACTCATTCAAACAACCACCAGTCCTGCTTAACCAATATACTAAAGAAAAAATAAGAAATATGGTATGCATAACTTTTGTATTAAATTTGTTTTTTTAACAAGGGAAAAATGGGAAATATATTACCTAAATTATTATAACCATAAAAGGGTTTATTCAAATATCTGGATCATTTTGGTTCCTATATGATTGGATGAATCAATTTGGATCAAGTTGATTACCTACCTTCAAGGTTCAAAGTATCGATATGATACACGATATCAGGCTTGTTGTATCATTTGGGTTTCTCATACACCTGTTTAAAGGTATATTTAGGAAATCAATCTGTTTTTTTTTTTTTTTTTTAGGAAAAGGTTAGGGCTACACAAGATAGAGAATAGTCCTTCCCGGGAAATTAAAAAAAAAAAACAAATCTGACTGAGATCCTTTGGGACTGAACCTAAACTAGTTAAATGATATGATGGAACATTGCATACTTATCAATCAGCTGCCTGGTTTGCTTCACAATATGTATACTGGAAGAAAATGCTTGAACTAAACTCGAACTTAGAGAAGAGACAATCTTTAAAAAGTATTAATACACCCTACTGATACATTTGGATGTAATAATACTTTAAACCATGCTTACCTTACATAGGTTTGGTCAAGTGCCTTGTTTATGGTTGAGATCAATCAAAATAGGGTCATCTGCTACGCTTTTATACATTCATGAACTGAAAATTTCTGCTACTTTATTAATTCAAAACTTGTGATATGCATGAAAACCTCAAAGTGTTGACCTACTTAAGGTAAGTTTCAATCAAGTGCATGTTGGCATGGTATCACATGATTTGAAGAAGAACTATTCATTTAATCTTTCTTGGTCTGAAAAACCAACGTTAAAGACTATCACACTCCAAAGTCCAAATTCAAAATACATTCAAAGTTGAAACAGGGCTGATGTAGACAAGGACAATGCACATTTAACCAATCTACAATGCCTCCAATGGTTAAATATATACTTTTCTGTTTGGCCCCATCATCCTTCCACATCACCAAAACCAATCTTATATGCAGAACTAGTAGTATTGTAAGCCTTTCTCCTTATGCGACATTAATAATAACCAATAAATACTTTTTTTGGCACTGCCAAACAGGTACTGAATTGAACAAATAATAAAATGTTTATAAAGTACAACGATTTATTTAATTTCTGCTTCACAGCTTCAGTTATTAAAAAACCTATCCCCTGATTAGAAATTAGTTCACTACCAGACAAAGTAACAAGCTTTTGGGTTCAGCAACTTCTATTATACCGGCCCACGAGATATTAGCCCCACTGCCATTTTTGGCACGTGTGATGCAGCGGCTGGGCCGCATCTGGTACGACCTATGCCGTCTTTCCGGTTTGAAGATGCATTCATTACAGAAGATCTTGTCATTATGAACTTAAATTTCTTGAGAAATTTAAATTTCAGTCCACCTCAAAAATTTTTATTAGTTTTTCAATTTTATTCACCCACCTTTGATTCATTATTCCGTAAATTTGATTCATTCTTCGCTTATTACTGTTCCAATTGTACTACTTTTGTACTACAGTTTACAAGGGAAATAGAATAATGAAAACTCACCTTTAAAATATTTTAATTCCACCGTACAGGTGGGGCGAATCGTGACCGTAGATTGATGTTAAATCTACGGATAGGATGCGGTTTATAAGAGGCTATTAGTAGACTAATCGGAGGGGGCTGTCTGTCATTTAGATTTCGGGGAGTGCAGTCTACTTATCCCTTTTGAATTTTCAAACTTTTTTCTCTTGAAAGAAATTGGTTCAGTACTTCAGTCTTACAGTCTTCAGTCTTGACTGTACGTATGTGATGGTCTCACAGTAACGGCCACTGTGGAATAAGAAGTATAGACTTCATGAATGTAACGTATCAGAGGCGGGCGGTTGATCCACTGAAACTGCTCGGTTAGACATTAATTTGACCCTTCAGTAGCTTCACAGATGTCATATGTTGCTTTTGTTTTTTATCAGCTAATGGAAAAAAAAAAGGAAGATATACGGTTGTGGGTTATTTGGTAGGTGTTTGGCATCAGTGCTTATATTTTGTTTGGAAATAGGCATTTTTTGAGAAAATAATACTGGTTTTCTTTGATATCAGTGATGGCATCAATGTTTTCAATCAATGTTTTAGAAACTGACCTGGTGGTTCAACTGTTTTTGCTCAGGTTTGTCGGTCACTAGTTCGACTGGTCAGGTCTAACGGTTCAAACCGTTCCACGATATATATATGTGTACAAATATATATTTTATTAATAAATAATATATAAATATGTTTTAGATATGTTATATATGTATTTCTATATTTAATTTATATTTTTAACTTAGTTTTTAATTTTTTTATTTATAAAAATATTAAAATTTACAATTTGAGGCAAAAAAAAAGGGTTTTTGTGAAAATACCGGGGTAGGCACCTTGGAATGCATAGATCTCGAAAAGATACCCAAAATAAAAAGAACCACCACAGTTGAACATCGGAGTGCAAAGTTATGACCTCCAAAAGTTTGCATACATTGAGTGTGCAACCTACGACTTGGTGACCGGGTCAAACGGGTCAATGGTTGAACCGACTGGGTCAAACGATTCTTCACCAAGTCAATGGTTTTTGACCGTCTAAAGGGTCTTGACTGAATCGGACCCGAAATCTTGGCCGGGTGACGGTTCGAACGGTTCGACCAATTGGGTCAACAGTGGGTTGAAAATATTGTTTTCAACATTGATCTATATTGTCCAATGTCCAAGATGATGCCACATCAATGCACCACCGGTAGCAATGCACTGTTTTCTCAAAAAACATTAAATTTGACTTTGCTCCAGACCACACTTTCCCGATTTCCAAAGTATGGTCTGGAGCAACGTTTTTTTTGGAAAAATGGTACCAAGCAAGAAGCCATTGTTTAAGCACTGCTTTCTCTAATGTGGCCCCGTTTTCTCAGAAAAACAACATCGATGCTAAACATCACCTTGGATTACTGGATAGATGGACTTAACATAGGGTAGGGTGAGAATGTGGTCGCA